GTTGGTTTTGTGTGTTTGCTCTGCTCTGCTCTGATCTGGGGGCCTGTTGCCCTTGCGGTTGACTGTCGTCGTCGAGTCGTCTGTTTGCCTCTTTGTCTCATTAAACATTTCAAAAGGACTACACACACACACACGACACAGATACCCACGAATATGTGTGTTTGTGTGAAATCAAATGTGTGAAGCAAATGAAGCGTACTCTGTATTTTCTCCCATTCTCCCTGAGACTGAGACTCTCAGGCTCTGCATGTGTGCCACGAAAACTAATTATACTGTTAAATGCGTTTGTTTAACTGCCAATTTAATTAAGGTTATGCCTTTGTTTGGCCAATCCCTAATCTGCCAGCCTTAGCTTGTTTCAATGCTCGTACGTACATATGCATATGGGGCCGTTGCCCAAAAATTTCCCCAACATTTGTGCAATTACCAAACTTGCCACGTCCCCGCAGACCCTACATGCCATGCCATGCCACATGCTGCACATGAAAGTTGCGGCAATGCGGTCGGAGTAGGGGTTGAGCTGCAAGCTTTGCCTAAAATGCTGCGCGACAGCATGAAAATTATGTAAAATTAGTACAATGTGCACTTTGCACTCTGCACCCAGCGCCCGAACAGTATCGGGAAAAAGTTTACTCATCCGCATGAAGTGAGTCAAAATTTTGTTGTGTTTACTAATATAGCTATATATACTATATGTTGTTTTAGTCATATTATTATCGCGGTGGCCTGGTATGTGGGACTACAAAAGTGTTTAATGTTACGGCTTATTTCTGCTGATTTCCCGCGTCCGTGTGCTGCTTTTTTCGGTGCCTCTTCTTCTCTGCTGTTATTACTGCTGTTGCTCTGCTGTCCATCGGCTGCTGATCTGCTGTTCCACTCACTGTTCAGCATGCCTACTCTTTCTTACATATACATGTATGTAAGAAGGCTGTTCTGTCTGTACGCTTGCGAAAGCGAGAGGCCAGAGAGCGGATCACGAGAGTGTGAGAGCGGTCGTCACAGAGAGCCGTCAAGCGTCCGAGAGAGGACTCTCATTTACTCAGCTGTCAGCCGTCGTCTTAATCAGTTGTCCGTCGCTAAAGTCGTAGTCAAGTAATAATCACTTAAAACCAACCCAGCCATATAGTAAAACTCTTACACTGGCTACCAATTGCCTTTATTGCAATAACTCGTTTGCATATTTTCTCCACACCCAATGCGGTCATACTTTTTGCTCTCACTGTTTGACTTTCACCAATGCATGCACACAGACACACCGACAGACACCACACGCATAAGCTGAAAGAAAAAAATTGTCTGACAAGAGCAATTACAATTACACATTGCAGAGCACATGGAAAGGACACTGTGGTCGCCGCGCCAGTACATATTCTTGGTGTTGTTGTTGCGGTTAGGGTAGAACGAACACCAATAACATCCGCAACAGCAACAACATAGCACTGAAACCTGGAATCCACAGACTCCACCGATGGTGGCCAACGAATATGAACATGTAATTACGTTTTAAGTGCTAACTGGTAAAATATTTACGTAAAACTATGTAAACTTAATTGAAATTTAATTGAAAATGTCATAAATGTGTGAACAAAACGCGCACAAAAAACCCGAACAGGACACCAGAAGCAGTGACAATGGCAGTGGGACAGAGCTGCAACCTCACTGACAACAGCCACATTCGAGGCAGCTGGCAGAGGGCGACAAACTGTTGGCCAGCATGCGGTTTAGAGTCCGGCAATCAGGGAAACACGGCTACTCCGACCATAAACCTGCCATGCCCGGGGCCAACACTAACAGAACCGGGCCCGCGTGAGAGGCGGGAAAAACTTGGCATTTAAATGCTTTTCGGGCATCGGGCAGCATAAAGCTGTGGGGGCATTTGTCATTTACGGTGGCTGCAGAGACTGAATCTGTATGGCTGTGTGTGTGTGTGTGTATGCTGCCACTAATAATGACGTCAGCAGCATGCAGAGCGTGAAATTTATGCACATCTCTACCAGAAAGTGCCTGTGTGTGTGTGTGTGTGGGAGGAGAGCGTGTTATGTATGTGCATATATTGGAGCGGCATTCGACAGAATCAGCAGAAGCGGAGCATTGGGTCAGTGGCATAAAGATTAATGTCTGTGCGCCATTTGTCGTCGCTGCCCCTTTGGTCAACACTCCATTCCCCAGCCTCAGCATAGGCCCCATTGTGCTCCATTCCATTCGGAGAACCTTTTCGTTCTCTGCTCGTTTTCCTTCGTTGCCTCGCTGCCGTTTTCTGTTGGCTCTCGTTTCTGTAAATATTGTTGGCACTTTGTCTTAATTGCTTAAAAATTACTGACATGGAAAATGAACTCGGAGAATGTTAACCATGCCCCACTCCGCCCTGGCGCATTGTCAACGATTCGGCAGCAGTCCTAACGACAAATACTTGCAAATATTATTGTAGTCGAAATTCAGGAACTATTTATCATTCAGTTGGGGGGCCTCAGCGGAGCAAGATGAGAAGGACAAGGACATGGAAGGGCAGGAGGGCTGGGCAGAGCAAGGACCGTTTGACAAACTTAATTTATTAATGCACAAGCTCTGTCTCCGTCTTCTCTATCGTTCGTGCTCTCTGTCGCTCTGCGTCGCTCGTCGCCTTGTTGCTTAAAAGGACATTAATTTTCATTTCATTTGGCGATAAAACAAAGACTTTCCATTTTAAATATCAAGTGACAACTAACAAATAAAATGTGCCCGTAAGTCTTTTTCGGGTAATTGTTTCGCCAGCTCTCCAGCTCTCTACGGGTTCGGGTCTGCGTGCCTCTGTTTGGCACTCTGGCAAATCATCGTTGCTGTCATGCCCCGTCATTTGCATACTTTCCCTAGGAGATGGGAGATGGTAGATGGTAGATGGAAGATGGCAGATGGAAGATGGCAGATGGAAGTGCTGCCCTGCCCCGCCCTTTCTCCGCACAATCATAATGTGAGCTAAGACTCGTGTCTTCTTTTTGGTGTCCAGCTGATAGGCAAATGGCATTTGTGAGATGCCGATGCCCATGCCAGTTCCGTGCCCATGGCCGTTACTGTGAAAGCCAAAGCCGGGGCTTCAGCTGATTGATATGCATGTGAAATCTAGGCATCACTTGGCTTTGTTTATTGACAGGCAATTTGCGGAGCCAGCATTTCAATTTGCCAATTGACAGCCGCATCACAAAGACATCAGCGATGGCCACCCATCTATCCATCCATCCACCCATCCACCCATCCATGCGATTCATACGAGTACCTGACCTCCCGCTAACAGCAGCCAGAGGAATTTCCAAAGAAAAAGAATCGTTTCAATAGAACAAATATCGCAAAATTTCTGCGGATCAATCAAATGCATGCCTCTGCAAAAGGCTTAAACTAATATCATGCCGAAATGAAATTCACATCCAAACATCCGACCGTAAAAATATTTGATTTGGAATGCGTTCATTGGTCGTTAAAACCAATAAAAATTCGGTCAGAATTTTAATGAGGCCCATATCCGAAATATTGCGTATACGCCATACCTCACCTCTGCAAAGAAAGCGATTTGCATTATTTATGGCCACGTCGGTCGCTCCGGCTGCGCTCTAATTGAAACCGCGAAATAATTGGCCCGCATTGGCCATCAGCTTAGCCAATTAATGCGGCCATATAATTTCAGCTCATGGGGGAATTTCAAACAGCATAGTACAGAGCAGAGCAGAGCAGAGCGGAACGGAACGGAACGGCACAGTTCTGGTTAGGCCCGGAGCGGGTCCGACCGATACGGTCCTCAATAAAATGAAATTAGCCGCTCAAGTGCAGCAAACATTTTGGAAATTACAGTGCGGCCACGGTCCCTGGGCCCTGCTTCTGCTTCTGCCTCGGGCTCGGGCTCGGCCTCTGCCATGCCTTGCATTTGATTGTTCATTAAAAACACTGTGGGAAAAGTGTCATGGGTCCTATGGTCGCTCCTCCCGCTCGCTCTATCGGTGGCATGGGCTCATTCAAACGACATTACGTATACGCTGTGCGGCACGATTGGAAAATTGCAGCATTCTTGCAGCTAAGTGGCCGTAAAACTGCCAGCCAGGGACTACCATATCTCCTCACTCCTCCAGCCTTGGGCCCCTGCCATTGTCATTGGTGGCAAGTGCACGAAAATTAGCTGACACTGGATGTTTGGCAATAAAATTGACATTCGAATCGACAGCGAGTCGCCTCGTTCTCTCTTCGGTATCCCTTTTTCCAGGGAATACTCGAAATGCCGAAATGCAATTCGTTTTTCTCTGTTCCTATTCCTAACAAAAACACACAGAGACACAGCCCCTCTTGCCATTTGTTGTTTGCCATTTTGCGTTCTGTTTTTTAATCGATTGATTGAAATGTTTGCTACAAATTGATTGATGGCATGCATCCAACCATGTTCGCATGCGAGTATCTGTGGCATATGCCACCACAGAGAATATGTATATATGTATATTTTAAATTGATAGAGCCATCAGAGCAGAGTGCGGGTGGAGCGGAAGGAAATGGTTGATGTGTATGTTTGTGTGTGTCGATTTATTGGGGAACTTCTTGCCAAAGTTTCGATTCGGGCAAATAAACTTCCTTTGAGGCTCCAAAAATAACCAAATAACTTTTAAATGCACTCTTTTCTCTCTCCATCATTCCTATGAGTGGTTTGTACAGGGTATTTTCCAGTTGTTTCGGCTCAAACGCTTACAAGTTATTTTTGTGCTGTTTTAGGTTCGGTTTAGGCTTTATTTTTTGCCTGCATTACGTTCTTGTTGCCAAGTGGATTTGTAAAGAGATTTGACATGTTAAAAACTTGATTGATTGATTCGCTTAACTTGCGCACACACACACACGCGCATATCACAGAGAGATAGGGTGTGAGAGGGATGGTGAGAGGGTGAGGGAGCGGCAGAGCTTAAGGCTTGTCTTACACGCCACTTACAAGTAGACTTTTGAGGCAATTTATCAAACGCCGGGTGGGTATGTGGCGACTCAAAGTAATTACTTACCGATCCACGGCAATGGCCACCAAGTGCAGAATGGAGGCAGTGCAGCAGAGGACGTCGCAGGAGGTCCAGATATCGCACAGCTCCGGGCCGAGTATCCAGCCCTGGCTGATCTGTATACACGAGATGGGAGAGAGGAGGCCATAAAGTTGGTTAGTCAAATAGACAATAAAAGCTGATGGCTTATTAAATTTGATGCTCCCTCCCACACACTGACGCTTGGGGGCTGGAGTGGCACACCACAGAATGTAAAACGTAATGGCTTCTAATAGCAAAGCAAACACAGGGAGGGACTGGGACTCGGCCTTCAGTCCGGAAAGCTTTATAAAGGGTCAACTGGCTGCCGGAGGTCCAGTACACAGTAGCAGCCGCAGTCAGAAAAAGCCACCATGAGGATCCTCTGGTTCTGTTTGTGCCTCTGGAGTGGTGGCATCCTTTTGGCTAGCAGCCAACAAAAGTGGCAGCAGCACAGAGAAATGGCCAAGCAGAGTGCGGACGAGGATATCGGCACCCTATTTGAAGTAATCCATGTATTTGCGGGTATTTTTGGCGTTCGTAACTTTATAACCTTCACGGGACACATGGATCTGAGGCCCTCGCTGCAGCAGCGCCTGATGGAGAAGTTTAACACTCCCCTGTACGTTGTTGGATCGAACTTGGGACCCCTCAACCATCACTATCTGAAGGCTACTAATATAGTTATCACTTTGTTCACTGGCCTGAGCGATCCCACGCTTTCTGCCGTCAATGACACTCTGCTCAGTCGGACAGGGTCCACTTTCCTCTTCTTCCATCGGCCAGCCACGGATGAGGAGGAGTTGCAGCATCTCACGGACGAAGAGATGCAAATCTTCTTCACCATGTGCTATCGCCGGCAGTTTGTCCGCTCTATTCTGATCTTCAGGAGGGAGAACAAGTACGAGGCGTGGACATACTATTACCTCTCCAAAACTATGACCATCCAGAAGCTGACGACCCGCGACAGCAGTTTTCAGTATATTCTCAGACAGAGAAAGCACAGGTTCCTCGTGCAGGTCACCAACGATATGCCAAATGTGTTTTGGGTAAGTTCTGAGAGCAGCTACAGTCACCTCTGGCTGTTCATCCAGTTGTCTTTTCCAGCTCAACTCAACGGGAGACAGCAATGTGCCCGGAGGGGGAAATATCTCTATTGGCGGCACTTTGGGAATTTTAATGCGGGAGTTCATGACCTACATAAATTCCAGCATGGACATCCTGCCCAGCGAGGGGCGGCAGAGCTCCGAGTATCAGATCGGGGACCACTCTGACGGTCGCATTGTGGATGTGGTGGCTAATTTGGTGGAAGATTCCAACCTGTCGGAGACCAGTCCGGTGTTGACAGATTCGAGGATTTGTCTGGTGGTGCCGAATCGAGTTCCAGTTCCCTTGACCAACTACACTCTGAAGCTGTTCCATCCATCCATCCGTATGGTGATGGCCTTGTCGATCATTTGCTATGCCGCCATCAAGTACCTGGCGAATCCCCGGCGGTCGCTGCTGGGATCACTTTTGAGCAGCTTGAGGCTGGGATTGGGAATTCCTCTGCCGGGCAGGGCCTTCGCTAACCTGCGTTTGTCGGAGGTATACATTGAGGTGTATTCGTTGCTCGGGATGGTCATCTTTAACAGCGTTACCCAGAGCTTCCTGGCCACAAGTCTCACCTCGGGTTTTTTTGAGAAAGCCATCACGAATGTGGCTACAATGCGAGCCAGTGGCCTCCGAATTATGACCGACGATCCGACTGTGCCGCAGATCTTCTACAAGAATCGTCTGCCCAGGTGTCTGGCTGATCGCTTGCGGCTCGTGGACACGGATACAATGATCCAGCACTTTCTCCAGTTAAACTACAGCTATGCCTACGTGATGCGGAGTCCCAACTGGCGAGTCCTGAGTCTCTACCAGCAGAACATGAAGGTGCCCAAGTTCCGCATGACTGAGAAGGAGCTCTGCACCAAGGCGCGGCTGCTGCGCCTGCCCATCTCCACGGAGTCTCCTCTGAGGTTTGCCTTTCCCCAATTCTACATACGCATCTTGGAGTCGGGTTTCCTGCGCCGATGGAATCAAATGAGCTTCCACAGCTTTCGCGACATGATGGGCATCAAGAAGCTGCCTCTGGACACGAGCCCATTTCAGCCCTTGCCGCTGGCATTTTTCAAGAATTGTTTTCTGCTTTATCTGGGCGGAGTGCTATCGAGCGTATTGGTTCTGATCATTGAGCTGCTGATGAGGCCGGCTAACTGAACATTCAACTACTTTTTGTGTGCTTAAATAAATACCCCACTGCTTTGTGCTGCACCTTACTTACCTCGTAAACGGCTCCAAGGGGCATCACCAGGCAGGCCACAAACAGATCGGCCACGGCCAGCGAGGCCACCAGATAATTGGCCACGTTCTGCAGATTTCGCTCCAATATGATGGCGGCTATAACAAACACATTGCCTGAAATGGTACAAAGCAAAACTCAATCAAATGGAGCATCCAACTTTGCCAGGGAGGAAGCATGTGTGAGGCTTTCAGCGGCCTAATTGCGAAAATTGACTTGAGACCGAAAGTTTTCAATTCAATTACATCCCAAGTCTAGCTCGATGACTCGATGGCCCCCAAATGAACTGAAACTGAAACTCGGTTGAACTGAACCGAATCGAAACGAAACGAAACCCTAAAAACCGAAAACCGCAACGGAACAGATAAAGTTTTTCGAAAATTGGCAAACTTCTTTGAGTGAGACACCGAAGGCCGCGGCCCAAATGAAATGAGAATCTTATTAAACTTGTCTCCCAGCATTGCACTGCTACAATTCCAATGCAGTCTGTCCGCCGCTGGCCCCCTTCCTCCCACCCCCCCCCCCCCCCCCCCCCCCCCCCCCTCCATCGGTTGCACTTGAGCTGCTGGCAGACAAAGACAAAGTTCACAAAAGCCAAAATAAACGACATGAGCTAATCGCGCTGTCGTAAACTTTGCCAAAAGCCCCAGACCCCCATCACAGACCCACTTGAGGGAGAGAGAGTGAGAGTAAGAGGCTGTTGGGCGAGCGACTGGGGCCGAAGACAAGACAACCTTTGATGTCTGCCAGTTGGGTTCTTCTTCGTTTTTTTTCCTGTTTCGCCACTGGCTGTCACGACTACTTCTGGCCCACTTGAAGGTGCAAAAGAAAGCACTGTAAGCAGCCTTCAGGTTGCCACTGTGGAGGTGCGAGACATGCAATTTGTGGCATTGAATTCGCCGACAGCCGCCGGCAGAGTGCCACCACACACACACGCCACGCCACGGACAGATGCCGCCTGGAGACATACTCGGATGCGGACATGGATACGGACAGACATGGCCAAGACACATGCAATTAGATACTTGAGTGTCAAAGTAGAGGCAAACACACAAGCCTCATGCCTGCCAGGTGTGTTTGCATGTGTGAGTCCAGAGCAGGCGAGAGCGGATTCCACAACAGACGACAGCCGCATGACGCATTAAAAGTCTTCGGGCAACCCCCCGCCATTATGCGACTTTGGTCTGCTGTTTTCAACGTTTTTTTCGCTTGGAGTGCGGTGTGGAGTGACCGAAACCGACAAGCAATCTGGCTAAAATTAGCATTAAAACTCATTAGCATTTTCTTTTTAAATGCTAAATGCTCGAGACGGAGACAAAACCTGCAAAAGTTCAAAAGTGAGTCGAGCGAAAAGAAGGAAAAAAGGAAAACTATGCAACGACAAAACGAGAAAAGGGCAAGAGTACGACAGGAAGTGGGGGGAAGGAACAAGAGACCGAACTAAATAAACAAAAATTAGACGGAGATCGCAATGGAGAAACAAATGCGAGGCGAATGCGAATGCGAATCAAGTAAATGGCCTCCGGGAGGACGAAGTCGCATCGCAGCACACTTTCCAGCGCTCGTTACTTTTGCTTTCCTCTCGACTTCTGTGTCGCCGTTTTAAATGAAACGACATGAAATCTACTTAAATTAATGAAATCAATTTTAGCTGAAAGCTCTTGTGTCTCTCTGTTACCTCCACTTCCGTTCGCCGTTTGCCGTTCGCCGTTTGAATTTGTATCTGTTTGATTTTTTGTTGTACATTTCTTTCGATTTTACAATGTGAACATAAAGTTTCGCTCATGGAAATGTTTGGGGGGGCGGGAGCTGTGATTGATTGATTGATTGACTGTCAACTTTAATGCGGCGTGTCCTTGCCTTGATGGAAGCCTCCCTCCTTCTGTCTGTTTGTTTGCCTTCGGATTTATGGCTAAATGCGTGTAATGAATGTAGCCGGCAACAAAAGCATCCGCCATTCGCCAACCCAATTCTCATTCCCTGGCTATCCTATCATTCTCCCCTCATTGAGCCGCCTTATTAATAACTGAGACTGAGCTGATGCCTCTGCTGCTGCTGCCGCTTCTGCTCTGAGCCATTATAACAACAATAATAAATAATATAAAATGCTCTGCCAGTATCATAAATATCAGTTACGCGTATTTTATTATCTACAACTGAAGCCAAGGCTCCTCTCAGTGCCGAGTGCTCCTGGCTTCCGTTGCCCCTGTCCATCTGCTTGTGCCTCCCCGCAATCAAGTCGGCTGCCTCCTTATTGAATTGTTTGCCTTAGTCCCCACGGATTTTAAGGGGGCCCAGTCACAGGCCCCGGCGCGTGCCTGAGACTGGCATTCGAGGAATTTATTTGGGGTGGGCCTGGGACGGGGACCACGACTGAGACTGAAATAATTATGTCTATGTTTGGGCTTCGGCTTGAGGAGAACGCCAGACTCCTCCGGGTACTCACCAATGATGGTGACCAGTATCATCAGGCCAAGCAGCACCGAGGTTACTGCCATCCGCAGCAGATGCGTGAAATCATCTTCTGCCACTTCGCTGGTCGTCACATTGATCCCCGCACTGCCATTGGCCATATCCAGTTGCCCGCTCCGATTCCCCATGTCACCGAAGATGCCCAGCATTGAGTCGTTGTTGCTGCCCTCCAGAAGGAGTGTTTCATTGAGCAGCATCGCCCCCAGGCCCACGGCCACATTCGTATAATTGTTGTCCAGATCGATAAGCTGGAGCGTCGTCGCCGTCGCTGTCGCTGTCGCCGTCGCCGTCGCCAACGCCACCTCTTTGCCATTGCTCGATCCTCCTGCGGTGGTCAGAGCTCGGTGGGCAGCCTTGGCTGTGATCCTGGCTGCTGCGGCGGCCACTGAGGCACTCGCTGCCGCTGCGGCTAGTGCGGCTGTGGTCAGGGGTGAGGTAGGGCCGGTGGTAGGGTCGGTGGTAGTTGCACTCAGCGCTAGGGAGCTCCGGAAATGTTTTCTCTTTTCAGGCCCAGAGCCATAGTAATGCTTTCTCTGCTTGTTATTGTTCGTATCCTCTGCCTCCTGCTCCTCTTCATCATCGTCCTTGTCGTGGTCGTCATCGGGGAGATCGGGCTGGGGCTCCGCTATGAGATAGGCGTTATCATTCATGGTATTGGCTATGTAAATGTAGTCGAGTGCATCTGAAATATACAGAGAGATGTAGAGGGAAATTCAAAGGATGCTGAAGCTGGAGGAGATTCTCGTGATAACCCACCGTTAAATTTGGTCTCGCGCGCCATTTTGCTGATACTTTTCGGGGTTGTTCGCTTAATTGCAGCCGCAGCGGAAATGAGGCAAGCGAGTGAGCAGACGGAAACGGAAGCGCGACTATGCAATGGCAATGGCCTGAAAAGGGCACTCGTCCTGTACCTGCTGTGTGGCTCTGTGAGTGTGGGTGCAGCTGTGGCTGTGCTGGTAGTACTGGCTGAGGTGCTGCTGCTTGTCCTGATGGCGGCTACTCAGACACTGTTGGCGGCGCATGGTGACACAAGGAGATGCCCTTTGTGCCCTCTACCGATGTCCCTTTCTCGTTTATTTGTGTGTGTGCGTGTGTGTGTGTGTGTGTGTGTGGTGGCAGACACAGGATGTATTATCCTAACGAGCTTTCAAGTGTTTACACGGAGCATTTACAATTTTGGCTTTTGGCTTTCGCTTTCGCTTTTCTTTCCCTCTGTTCTGTTCTTTTCTTTCTGTTCTGTTCTGTTTCGACTTCCTCTTACTGATTTGATGCTGCTGTTGCTGTTGTGTGGCTATTGTTGCTGTTGTTCCGGCAGTGTTGCTTTTGTTTTGCTGTTGTTTTTGTACTCTCTTTTTTCGGCTGTGTTGTTGTATGGTTTATTTAAGCTCTTCCGTTTGGTTTCGTGTGTGTTTATGGGCCATTTGATGTGCTATTTTCATATCCTTGAAGTAAATTTCACATCCGGCTTCCGCATAACCAATTGTCGTCGGTCGTTTGGTCGTCCCAGAGCGGCACCTCGTTCAGCGGCATTTCGGGCGAACCTGAAACTGCAATAAAAATTGAATTAGACAATAAATTCCCCACCGGCCGATAACTAATATGTATTTATAAATAGAAATTCAATTTTCATTCGTTTCTCGGTTTTGTTTATTCTCCTGTTTTTGGTGGAAAATAATTTCCTGTACGTCTGTGGCATTTTTGGCTACAAAATTTATTGAATTCAATTTCCTCTTTGCATTGTGCGTAAAGTGTAAATGAATTTGAAATGTTGCTGCTGCCTCTCCTTCTCTTACCCTTACCCCTACCCCGCCGCCCAGCTCCATCCGTCAGCCCCTCCGCTTGTTAAATAATTTAACGCAATTTCTGCAATTACACAGAATCACTTGGCACGATAAATAAAAATGGAGACTGGCAGGCAAGCAAAGCGTTGTTTTCGTTTCCCCCTCTCTCTCTCTCTCCTCTGCCAGTCCTGCCTCGGCCTGCCTGCCTGCCACACACACACACACTCTGCCACATGTGCGGGGCGGAAGTTCTGCGTGCGTGCGACGGGCGCCATTGCCAGCGGCTGCTTTCGTCTCCTACTTGCTCTGCCTTTCAGCAAAATAAATTTAAAACGCATAAAAATGAAAGCAAACGAAAGAAAATACCCCAAGAGCGAGGCGAGGGAACTGTCAAGCTCCTGGTAAAGTGTCATCGTATGGAACTACATGCATGCGCACACACACACACGTACTTCGAGTACGCATACATGTGCGTTTGCATAGTATACATTGCGGCGCCATAAAACCCCGAGCGAGAATGTTGCATATTTAATGCCAGCTGAGTTTATAGTCTCCGAACACACTCTAGGCCAAAACGGGGGATTTGGCCAACATGGCGATAGATTTGGCTTGGCCTAGGACGACCCCCCAGACTATGCATCATATGTGGATGATGGGCATCTTGGTGAAAACAGAGGTAGCATTTGGTTAGTGAAGCCACCTTTTTTATGCGACTTTTCAATATTAATCTCTTCCATATTCACCCAAAAGAGTCTGGCCTCTGCGACTTGCTGGTGTTTTATTTTTTCGTATCTCGTCTCCAATTGAATTTGTTTACAAGTTACTGCACAGCAACCTAATGCATGAACTGCTAATTACACAGCTTAAAATGCCAAGTGAGCTCTCCCGAGAGCCCTGGGAAAACTTAACATAACAGAACAGAAACAGAAACTGAAAAGCCAGTATAGTGACTGAAGGCATAGCTCATTAAAATGCTTCCCTTACATGCTGCGCTGGGCTGCGGCAGAGTCGAGTCGAGTCGAGTCTGATAGACAATGCCACAAAGACGACTTGTAGGGCTTTCCCCTGTATGCGGCTTACCCCTGCTTAGCCCTGCACTCCAACTGCACCACCACTTGATTAGCAGGCACTTGGATTAGCTTTTGTCAGTTATATCTACGAGTGGATGAATGCCAGTCCTTGTCCCCTTCGGTTGCCATCTCTTAGTGTAATGAGGACTTGCATTACTTTCATGCGAACCGAAATGGAATTCGGACAAGTGCATAAAAGACTCACCACAGCTCAAGGCGGGGGTTTTTAGAAATGGCAACCGGTTCGCATGCCGTGCCTCGAAATTATTAGGTGCAACCACACCGCCGCACAATAACCTTCAAATGCCACTATCGTGCATGCTTATGCTTGTGTGCTGCCTGTGTCTGTGTCTGTGTCCGTGTCTGTGAGTGACCATGTAACTAACATTTTCAAGTTCAAAGTCGATTTAATACGGAAGTTTATGCCAGCCGTGAGTGTTCAGGGGAGGGCATGAATGGCTGTTCATGTGGGGATACGTGAGCGTGGCTCGTTTGAAGTGCATTTGAGTGTGAAGACGACACATGTCGCTTAAATGCACACACACGCACACACACACAGAGGTACAGAGATACACCTGACTATCGTGGAAGGTTCTCTGGCCCAGTCTTCCAACTTCTTCGCTGAGTGCACTTGTTGCGGTTCGTCCAGCCCTCGCCTGCCGCATACATTATGCAAGTGTATGCCAACTGCATCTGTGTGAGTCTGTCTATGCCTGTGTGCGAGCGTGTCCCTCGCTTTTTATGGTCGGGAGGTGGGCTTATCGCATATTTATGCAGTGTGTCCTTTGAAGCAGCCGACCAGTACACACCGGGCTATAAATCAACTTTGGTTCACCGCACTCTGCTCGGGGCCCCTTTCCCTACCCCTTCCCTTTACCCCCTCCCTGTCCTATTCATATCCGCATCGCAGCAATTACGAAAATTGCCTATCTATGCAATAGTTGTGGCTGCCTTGCCTTTCTTGCCGCCTTCTGCCAGGGATAAATAGTTACCAGGCGCACTCTACTCTTTACTTTTCGTTCTTGTTTGCCCTTTGCCGAGTCATAAATCAAGTGAATAGCAGAAACGCGAGGGCAGAACGAAGCGTTCTCCATCGATGGAGGTACGTGTTTAATACTTGTCGGTATTCTATGACTGACAGAATAAACCGACGCATTTTTGGACACATTCTCCGAGCTCAAATCTCTACGGCGCTTGCCAAAGAACTTGTCAATCTCTCCCTCTGATGCCAAAGGACACACAATTGTTATGCACGCCATATGAGTGTGCCTATTTGGGTGCTCGTGTTTCTGTGTGCGTGTGTGTGTGTGGCCTATAAAAATGCAGTTTTCCGAATGCAGGCCAAAGCGATGTCACATTGTTTGCCTCTGCCTCTGCCAATGCCAGATGTTTGCTGTTCGAAATGGGGGTAGGGGGGATGGTAGAGCAAGTGAATGAAATGGAATACAATAAAATAAAATAAAGTAAAATAAATGACATAAATTTTTCATGCGACGCTCGATTTGATTCACCGCACACACGGACTACACACACACACATATGTAGATCTATAGAGATTCAGACATGACCAGACATTTATCAGTTGGTTCACATGCATTCTGAAGATACTAATGTACATATTAGTTCAGCTCTGTAAGTGGCTGGCTGGGTGAAGACACTCGCCCGTTCCCCCGACCCGCACTCCGTCTGTGCCCCGGTTCTGTATGAGTTGTTGTCGGTTCCTTTTTGCACCACTTCCGCTTCATTTCATGCGCCATTTTTCTCTATCTTTGCAGTCGAGTGTTTGCGCCTTGTTTCCACGTCCTGGACGGCCTTTCAGCAAGCCAGCCAGCCAGCCAGCCAGCCTGCCAGCCAGCCAACCAGCCTTCATGCGGCCTGTCCATGCTCCATGTCTCATGGCACAGTCCCACCCTGCCACTCGCACTTCCCGCTTGCGGTTGCAGCTGTTATGTATACAGCATCAGCTCCATTGCCTGCCTGTTTTGTTTCCCATTTTCCACTTTGCCTTCTCAGTTTGGATCCCCTCTCTTTTTACGATACTGCTCGCACTGCCATTGCAGTCGGTAGAGCTGGCTGGCAATGGGTTCTCCAATCAGTCTACTGCAAATAATTTATATCGCCTGAGTCTGTGTCGGCACCTTTTCTCCTTCTCTGCCTCCATTCTAAATAGTTTATGGCTCAGCTCTGAGGGTACCATAAATATTAGCCATACGCAGCTCTGGGAATTCGAATTGCAATTAGCCTGGACATAGCTATTAGTACTTGTCGAGGGCTCTTCTCTAATTGCTCATTAATATTCAATTGCCTGCAGGTTTTGTTCAATTATTCAGACCGCAGCTTTCACCAGAGAAACAAAACTGTACCGCCTGTAAACTTTCCAATCAATCAATCCAATCAAAACCACATCCAATCCGAATAAAAGCGGAATTTGAAATGTAAAAATATTTAAACTCCAGTTTATTTGAAAACGCTGGCGTGAAATAGATAACTTCCAATGCATTTTTTTTATCCTCGAAAAAGTAAAAACCAACAACAGGAAAGTCGGAAATGCGGGCTAGTCGAAACCGGGGATACTCTGTCAAAGGGATTTGCTATAGAAATAATAGAAAACTAATTTTATTCATATTACTTTTCGCCACTTTTTTCCGCTTTTTCCACTTTTTCCACTTTTTCCACTAGAAATTAAAAACAGTAATTCCTCTGACATTCGCATGTCATCGTGCATAACAATGAATGACATTCAAATATAAACATTGTGCACGAGTAAGCTGAAAAATAAATTCCCTTTCAGCCAACAATTGTTGTATACATATTACACGCCCTCCCAATGGCTGCTTGAGGGCGGACTGAGGAACACCTATGACTGGAGTCAGGGTACATTTCTAGCCAGACCTTTGGAAAAGCGAATATTAAAATATTTGCGCTTTTACGGGTTTTTGAATCCCAAAAGTGTGGAATGCGCAAAACGGAAAGAGCGTGTAAAAGCTGTACAAAAATTTTGCTATTTTGGAAAATTGGGGGAGTTCTAATTCGAGTAAATATCTCGAAAAATATCTGAGCTTTGCCCGAAAATAACTAATTGCTTGATTATTGGGGCAATTAATAAATTTTAAGCCGATGTGGCAGAGAATGAATGCGGAGCTGTGGCAAGTGGAGAGCGGAGAGGGCTGTTTGTCCCGTAATAAAATATATGGTCCGGAATTGTTGGCTTTTAATTACTTTTGAGCAGCGTTGTCTACCAGCATACATCCACGTGCCAGGCGAATACGAGCATGCGTATATCTCTATATTTTCTTTAATGTCAGGGCGGAATGATAATAAATTTCCTCATACAATATCCTGCATTTAAATAACACTTCCTGCACCACCAACTCTAGGCCAAGGCATCCGTCGACGTAGTCCTCGCTGTCCATACGTCAGCCGCCGATGCGAAGCCCGACGTTTCCAGACAGTGAAATGAATTTATT